AGTAGCCTGGAACGTGACCAAGAGGTCAGCAGACTCCTCTGCCACCCCCTGGGTCAGATCTCCAGAAGACATGCATTGCACATAGCTTTTACTGACACCCGCCTCCAGAAGCTGGGAGACAGGCAAGCGGTTGGTGACCCCTGCCTTCACCTCCCCCATCTCCAAGACGCCCTCGTCCTCAATCAACAGGATCGCTGACATGACAACCAGAGTGGGGCCAGGCTGTCCAGCAGGGGCCCCCCTAGCACCAGCTGAGGAGGGTCCCAGTGGAGATGGGGTGTCCTGAATGGTCCCCTTCACTTTCTTCTCTTTGTTCTTCTTCTTCTTAGTGGCAGGTGGCTCACCCTTCATAGAGGATGGGCCGGGCTGCTTCTGGCCTGCCTCCCCAGGGCCATCCACCTCAGACAAGGCTGCGATGGAGGGCAGCTGGGAGGAGGCCTGAGCCCCATCATCTGACGGGCCTTGGCGCCACAGTCGCTGGCCATCCCAGCCGCCTCAAACGGGGCGGTCAGAGCAGGCAGGGGGCAAGTGGAGGCATCAGCATCTCCACCTGGTGATGTCTCTGTACCGGTGGGGGTGGGCACTGTAGGTGGAATGGGTGAGGGGGAAGGTTGGCGACTAGTCCCAGCCCCTCTGCTGGATGGTGCTCTCATGCCAGAAATTCCAGCCCCCTCACATGGAACAGGGGTGGAAGGAGGTCAGGAAAATCTCCCAGCCTTACTGTGTGGGGCCTGTGTCCCAGAGGTGGATGCGCCATCCATCGGCGCCACTGCAGTCTCCGATATTCCAGCCAGTCTCCCCCACAGGCACTGGGCTGCTAGGTGGGAATAGCTACCACACTGGAAACACATTGTCTCCCCAAAGGAAAAATAGATCACAAACCTCTGCCCATTGAACATAAGGCTCAAGGACTGAGGCAGAGACCATGGGCCTTCCCTGAGAAGCATGAAAACCTGCCTTTGAAAAGACAGGACATGCCTCAGTTTCGGGTTCTTATTTCCCATCGTCAGTCAGCGAAAGGGACTCATAAGAACCCTATAGGGCTCGAGTTCCTTAGCCAGCTCCCAATAGGTCACATGTGGGGGCACATTAGAAATCACCACCCTCACTGCTGGGGTATCTAAGGGTGTGACAAAATAGTGTGCAACCGCAACGTCCAGGCCCTCTGCGCACACCCTGTTAACTAGGGTGGAATCGCTCAAGTAAAACATAGAGACCGCGTTAACACAACCTGCCTAACATATGTTACGCTGTCCCAGGAGACTACCAAAGGCATCTACGCAGACCTCAACCCTGATGTAGGGAGGTGTGTGAACCCTCAAGCCATGGGTAATGGGGAGGTTCTGAGAGACAT